GGACGGGAAGCCACCGAACCGCGCTCCTCCGCCGAGCGCTGCTGCTGAATCCGCCCTTTCTAAACACTCCTGAAGAGTTGGGAATTAGCAGCTTAACACCAAGATAACACTACTATAAGCAAGTCATTAATATAATTAACACTAAATTAACCAAATTGTAGAAAAAGCGGCTGTAACTGTCGCTAACAAGATGTACGTTAACACAGCTGCCGGCTCTTTGCAATCAGGTTGGCCAGGCTGATGTAAGCCCGGGGAAAGCCCAGGTTTTTATTATTACTGCTTTCAAATCTTTTCACCTTTTGATATTTTCTCATCAACTCGTTAGCATGACTAAAGCCAAGTTCTAAACATTCGATCTAGAATGACTTGGTTAGCAGTACAGGGATCTTCTCTCTTGCCCCACCAGCCAGCTGTGTTCAGGAAAAAAGCGTCTTCTACACATCCTCCCAAACTCCAGCAATTCTAGCTTTCATTTGATGTTCTGCCAAGTTTCTACCTACCATTTTCCATCATCAGGCAATGTATTAAGTCTATTAAATTAAGATTGGATGTGATAGGGCTGCTCTGTCTAGAGGCCATTGCCAAATGACTGAATCAACTGTAACAGAACATTTATCAGACCACTATTTGTTGGTCCTTGAGCAGCAAAATGAGGAGCAGAAGACTGGCAGAGACCTGCTGAGGTTTGTATATTAACTGCAGAGCCTTCCAGCCTGTCTAACTATACAGATGTGTGTATGCTCCTGAGATGGTTGGTATTGACCCATCTATTTATCTGCAGGAAATGGGTGATTGGCATGATGACAAATGGGCACACATACCCCCAGAGATGCAACAATTCCAGGAAATAAAGCAGCCCTGGATGGTGAAGATTTTTCAGAAATAACTGCAAATTCATTCATGGAGCGGTGCCCATATCTCAAACCTTTGGAAAATGTATCACCAAGCAGTATATTTGCTGACTGATGAACCATTCACAATTGCAAAATACACTGGACTAAAAGATAATTAAGAAAATATAATAATAATTTTAAGATATAATTACAGCAAATATACCCCACTTGGACTACAAATGGATACAATCCCAACTGGGAATTCTCTTGTTTGTATTCAACTGGTTAAAATATTGTTAGAAAAGATTATATGAAAATATCAGTAGCAAAAAAAACCTCAGTGAAACAGGAGACTGTCCTTTCCAGTGTTCAAATTCCTAAAAGATAATAAACCTGAAAGTAAAATGTAGTGAAGTACAAGGGCATGGAAGAGACTGGGCCAACAGACATTCCTAAGCAAGTGGGTCTGGTTTCATGGGCACGGGATGCACACAGAGCAGAACAAGCAGGCACCCTGAGGAGTGATGAAGGTACTTCCAGAATTTTTAATTCTCCATTGGCACGTTTTTGTAACTCTATATAGAGGGTAAAATACTGCATGAATCGGATACCCAGGAATGTGCTAAAGCTCTGAAGCAGTGCTATGGAAGAGAGAAAATGCACACACTGTACCCTCCTCAGTGTTCCCTGGGCTTGGTGGTGTTAAACTGAACAGGAGAAACTGCAGAGACTTGTGCATTTACCCTGACACTCCCACTGGCCCTTACTGATCACCAGCAACCACTTGGTGGAAGAGCTACCACAGATTATTGTCTTTACATGACTGGCAGTGTACTGTGTTTTTTCTAAGGCACTTGGCAAGCAGGGGAACACAGAATGTGTTTTTTTGCGGTGCAGAAGGAGTTAAGGAGCCATGTGCCTGAGTTCCCTGCAGATAAGAATAATGTGAGCCCCCTGACAAGCCAGGCAGGCAGCTCTGGCTCAGCAGATAGCAGGAACATGAACTGAAGGGGCAAAGACATCTCACAATTCCAACAGCCATTCATATCCTAGGGAGATTTCAGAGAGCTCTCTTGTCATGTTTTAAACCATGGCTGCATTTCTCTTTGTCAGAGTGCATTTGCCAGTTGCACTGCTGAGTTTTCATATGCAAGTCAGCCTACAGCAGTTTCCAGTAATGGCATCTTATGCAATTTCTGACCTACTTTAACACATTGGGGCATTTGGAGACATGACATCCACTGCAGCAGCTTTCTGCTTGAGCGTGTGACACTGCAGCAGGAAGTGCAAGTCTTTACACAAGCATATGGATCCACTGAAACACAGACAGAGAGACTTTAATTTTCAAGGTTATTTGTCAAGCCATTAAGGGCATCCAGATCAGTCATCATACACATTATTTTTAGCTAGAGACCGCGCACACTGTTTCAAAAAGATCAAATGGTCAAGTCACTAAGCTGTTACATAGCCACTGACCTGTGTGGCCCTTGTAGGCTACAGTTTCCTGAAGAACACCTCAAATGAGAGCTTGTGTGTGTGACTGATGATAAACCATGACCTGGTTAGCAGTACAGGGATCTTCTCTCTTGTCCCACCAACCAGCTGTATTCAGAAAAAACGTGTATTCTACACATCCTCCCAAACTCCAGCAATAAATGGAGGACCTCTAATAACTAAAAGCTTTATCAAAGAGGATTTTTGATACACTTTTATTAATTCCACTACCAAATGTGGACCTAACTACTAACAGGGACCTAACATTACTGTAAGAAAGAGAGCATATAGAATCATTCCCACCATTAATTAGAACTAAGCCTTAAATGAGAGAAGTAATAAGAAGAAATTTGGATTACTATCTCTTCCTTCTCCCCCATGAGAAATAAGACTCCAGACACATTTCACTGTGTGGAAATTTCAAATATGTGATCTGATTAAGGCGTCTGACCACAGCTGTTCGAGCGAGCCAGCAGACACTTGTCACTGCAAACTATGCTGAAGTTCAAGATCTACAGAGCAGTGTAGATCTTCAGAATTCATTAATAGAGTTATCACTCTTGTCCTGCCACTTCAGTCCAATTTGTACCTCACTACTACAGTGCCTCAATTATCTTTCTTTCACTATTTTCCTGCAATAATAAGGCTATTAGTACTACTGAAAACTACAAGCATTTTAGTATACTCTTGCTTTGGGGCCAATTACTTTCTGTCAAATGAAAGAGGTTTTATGTAATGTTGTTATTCACTGCATTCTTGTTTTGTGTCCTTCAAGATAACTAATAAAATTAAGAAACATTTCAGGCTTCACCTGTAAGTTAATACATCCCCTCAAATCTCAGTGCTTCTTTGCTATCAGCTTTGAAAATAAACAAGCTTCCTTATAACCAAAAAGGAAGTTACCATGCAACTTAAGGGGACAAAATAATGAGCTGCTATCAAAAGAAGGCAGAGCCATTGCTGCAACTTTCCTCAACAGCATATTAAGATTTGTAATCTTATCTGTGGATTTGTTTTAAACTAACAATTTAAATCAATTGGTCTGAAATTCACAACCACTTGTAAGTAATGTTTAAATCAAGCAATTTCTCTACACAAATTTAGAAAGGAAGTTGTAGAATTACAGATGTTGTGCAAATTGTGTGCTAATCTCTCCTGAAAATTGAAAGGCAAAAGAATCATTAAAAAACAGTTAGGTATTAAGCAAAAATCCAAATTCCTGACACTAAAACTCACCCAAGCTCTGATGCATTTTTCTTTTTCACATTCATAAGAACACTTAAAATGTTAAGACAACTTGGTACTAAATAATAGCCATTAAATATTTATAGTGTTAAGTGTATCTGTCCCATTTTTAATTAGGAGTGAAGTGGCAGTTTCTGAAGCTAGAACCTGCAGCCCAGCAGGTTTAAGAGAGACCTTGTTAGGGACAATAAACCCTGGAGGAGTTGTCACTGTAGGGGCTCTCTTGTGTCAGAAAAATAGAAATAGCATAATATGCTCATGAGTCACATAACATTTGGGTACTGGAAGGACACATTTTTATTCCATGCAACTGTAAAGCCAATTCAAAAGAAGATAATCCTCTCTAATAAACAATATACACAGCTAAGTAAACTTTCTATACTTGAATATGAAATTTTTTGTTCCAAATACATTGATAACCATCAGCTTTTTACAGGAATTTTGCCAAGTCCAGATCAAACTCTTAACAATTCCCTTCAGGTAATGCAAAATCAAGATGAGGCACTATTTCCACAGTTCCATGCAATACTTACTGTTCAGACCACATAAAAAGATTTAAGTACATGCTAGTGAAGAAAATATATTCCCTTTCTGGCTTCCTTAGGTGCTTGCCTGAGATTTAAAGAGACAAAAAAAGTCTTACTTTTTGTCATTATTAGAGCTATTTGATCCAAACTACACAGTGACATTCGAGCTCCTAGTAACCTCATGCTAATGATTTTCTGATAGATCTGCTCATGATTTTACATTAAGAATCAGTCACCAAATAAAGATATTTCAAACTGCAGTAACCTGAATTTTTTGACTTTTCTCTTGATTTTTCTTCCCCTCCCATTAAGACAGGAAGAAAACCTGCAGAAAGTATCTTACAGAGGAACTCACTCTGATCTTCTATATTAAAATGCTTCTTCCAACAAGACAATGTCAGTTTTACGTGTTTTAACTGAAGGACAATTTCTGTTGCAACACTACTGTAAAATGAGGCCTCAATGATGAATGTTTTTTCTATAGCAACACTGACTATTCAGTCAGGAAACTTTTAAAGTAAAGGAGTGCCATTTTTGGTGTGTAGCCAACATCTGTAACCAAACAAGCATCAGGATAAAGATTCATGATGCCAAACAGCTGAGGATGAAAGTTACTTCAGTGATTTCTCCTCTCAGCACAGCTAATACAAGTAAAGCTTCCAATACAGAAGTGATGTTCCTCAAAAAGAAACTGGAAGGAAACCCCATGTGGTGTTACCTAAAAGAAAGGAAATAAATACCAAACCAGAAAAACAACTCAGTATTGATGTAGAGGATGGGCTGAACTACATTAAATAATTCTATTCCCCTAGTGTACATGAGTAGAACACACAATCAACCTCAGGTCATTTCCACATTTGCAACAGCCTGAAGCAAAGGGAGAGCAGAGTTCTGCCCTTGAAAATGAAGCTTTTTCTATTCCCAACAGGTTCAGAGCTAGATCTGACCCACAGGCAAAGCTGAACAGCAGTTTCTGAACAAATTGATACCTCACATATTCTATTAATACAATGAAAAAAAAGTAATCTGTCTAAATGAAAGATTTTTTGTGGTAGAGGACATTAACAGAATATTTTTAAGAAAAAAAGCAGTAGTTTTCAGGTATACTAACACAAACTGTAAATATAAATTCATTAAAAGGCTTCAGTAATTTGATAGTAGACTTAGTGTGAATGCTGAGGTGTTTTAACAAAGTGTCCAGCTACCAAGATGACGATTAGCAATTCCACCAGCAGGGAAATCAAAGTTCTGAATAACTGCAAAAACCTTTAAGATTAAAGCTTTGAGCATTCTGAGGTTTTGAAATCCATACTCAAAGCTGCCCACATCCCCTTAGCATCAAGGATTTTTCCAGAAAACCTTAAATTATGCAATTTTCTCTATCACAGGAGACCCATTTTGTTTTTTAAAACCAAAGTGTACTCTCTGATGCAAAGCTCTTGTTCAGCTTCAAGCTCTATTTAACTCAGTCTCTCCAAAAGTAATGATGAATAAGCTTCACAGAGAGGTAGACTTAAATAGGGCAAATCCAGGTTCAGTACCAGGTTCCTGAAAACATTGCATTTAAAAAGTAGTAAGAAATCATTGAGAAGGGCTTGGTGCTGAGAAAGATATTTTTCCTTTCCAAATCTCCTACTGAGAGAGAGGCGGGGTACAGGGGATTAAAAACACAAAACACAACACCCAGCCTCCCCACTCTTGTTTTTGTTTCCATATTGATTCACAACTCCTTTAGAGTCTACAACTCTTTCTTCTACTCTTCATTTCCATCCAGATTTTCTCTCTGCTGCTGGGGAACTACTGCAGCAGACATTTCAATGCAAGAGGAAAGTTTCCTTCACTACTGTTCTATAAGCAGCATAATCCCCAGCCGGAAGTAATTGCCAGTCAGTGCTAAATGTCATCTGTCCTCAAGGGATCATCTTATCTACTGCATGATGGATGTAAATAAAGCATTACAGCTCATTTGGTCTGATAAGCTTCTCCTCAGCTTTCCCTGTAACCCTGTGTGTGTGTTCACGTCGGGGGTGGCAGGGGGAGTGAGCCATGGCAAGCAGAAGGCACCTCTGCTGATTTGGACACACACTGGCAATTTTAATGGTTTGAAATTAAAAGTCCTTGTTCCAGATTTGAAGGCACTAAAAGTTACTAGTAAGAATTGACCAGTATAAAAGTAAAACATTTCAGGTTTATGGTAACATAGCAGTAAATTTAAGTATTTATTCATAATTTCAAATGAAGCCTAAGAAACCTTTACTCTAAAGTTCGTATGAAGGAAAACAGTAATGTAATCCTATCATAATAGTCTGTACCCCTGTTTACAGATAAGTGCTATATTCTTTACCTATTCAAGACACAGAAATAAAAATGAGAAATACTTCAGTTTAATAGCTTAACACTACACTTACTACCCACATACATTTTACGTTTGATAGCTGAACCCTTCCAAAAGCTGTGGTTTTTTCTCTCTTCTCCCCACCCTCTCACCCCAATAATCCTTACATGTTTCAATTAAAAAAAGAAACAACAACCAAACAACAAAACAACACTTG